GATTATATGCATAAGATGCTTGAGAGGCTCCTCACAAAATGCCCGTGTCTCAATCAGAACCTATGCATGAAAATCATCACGCGCCAAGTATAACTTAGTTAGGCAGTAATACTAAAGGTGAGAACAATTTAATAAAAGATTGTAATATATATATAAAATCATTAAAATAAAACAGACAAGATTTTCATAACGTTCAAACCAGATATCTCATGCTGAACTTTATCATAAACCTGAAAAGAATCATATGATAATTTTAACAAGATCATAATAAATCAGATCAGACAGAATAATCAATATATATTCCTTTCTAGTAAGACATTTTTTAGAACTTTCTTATTTCATTTTTATAGCCCAAAGTATATTTTAAGAGAATATAAGGTTTGTGAGTCAGACGAGTGTGCGCAATACAGATCTCATATCATCAAAGTCGGAACAGATAAGCACACACAATGCTATCACATCGGAAATAACAATATGCACACCAAGTGCATTCAGATCAGAATATATCCTAGTGTACACTCCGGTACACACAATATATCTGACTCGTAATAGATAATCACTTTACCTCATGGCATGTCAATTGTACCTATGACTCTCCATATAACATACAATGGGCTTTTTAGTTCCTTTCATAATCATTTGATAAAAATTATATCAGAATCAAAATATATTTAATTCACATTCATAAAATGTGACATGGGCAGTTCATACCCAAAATCATTCATAAAACTTATTAAAAATATTTTGGATATAATTTCATAATCAAAACATAATTCATATCTTTGAAATAAACAACGTGAAGTTGACTTATCACAAGTCATCCTCGATCAAAATAATAAAATAATAAATTGCACTCACATTTGCCTCACTACATAACTTGTATACGATGATACTAGTCACAAGCTTTTTCCTTTCCTTTCAGATCGTTCGGATTGCTAGTTTTATTGTAATCTGACAATACCAAATTATAACACAAAATGATTAAACTATATATTAGTATCGCTCCAACATAAGCTCATTTTGACATTTGAAAATCTATAAAATAAAATTGATAACTAAATCGATATCAACCTAACTCGTAATTCCATTATAACTTCAAACTTCTCGAAACACTTATTCAATTCCACAAATAATTATTCCCAACATGATCTTCAACTTTTACCAATTATAAAATCAAACCACATATTTTAAATTTTTTATAGAATTCAACTCAACTTTTCCTATTTATTCAAAATGGTATCTTTCCATTTAACTTCAATTCCAAGAATCCAAAAATATACTCAACATTTAAACATTACTCTTCATCTTCTAATCCATTTCAACTTAAATTTTAAAATTTTCATATTCAAACAACTTGCACTACCTTTAAAGAATCAATATTCTGTATTGATATACACACTAGAATTTAATTTTGTTTCTTTCATTAAAAACTAAACTCGAATATGAATCTATCCATATAAAGAACTCATTCTAATTCATTCTGTACAATTTATGGTAAATTTTCAAAGTTGACCAACAGAATCTATTTTGTGCAGAATCTGCTGCCCTTTTTCTGACCTTTCCTCGATTAAAAATTCATATCTTTTTGTATACACCTTGAAAGTGATCCCCATTTTTAAAACAAAAAACTAGATTGATATAAGAACACAAATATATAAAAATAAACTCCAGATAATTTTTATATAATTTATGGTGAATTTTCAAACTCACTGCCAGATTCAAAATCTAAACTGTTTTCATTAACTTCATCCTTAGGTTCTTCATCAATTCTTACAACCAATTCTTTAAAATCACTTACCTCTTCATAACCCCTAAAACACAAGAAATCAACATCCCCTTCATCAACTCAAGATGAACTTGAACATAGACCCTCGTGATATTCATGTCAAAACGTAGCAAATTGAACGTAGAACATTTTTCCTAATTACACCGAAGTCTAATTCTCAAGAAAATAGCTCGAAAAATAAAACCTAAACTTTTTCCTCTTACCTAATGAAGTTCACGGTCATGGAGAAAGATGAGAGCTTTTCACGTTTTTCTACAGAAAAATTAAAACACTTTACACTCTTACTTAAAAGGTTAAAAATGAATAAAATATTCATTTTGCAAAAATGATGATTTTACCCTTAATAAATATTCACAACTACCACTTTGCCATTGCATGGCACCATCCATGACATCACCTTATCCATAAAAAAGTCCAAATCTTGCCTTTCCAAGTTTACCCTTCCAATTTTCAAAATTTTAATTTAGTCCCTAAATTCCAATGTTCGGAAAAATCTAAAAAATTGCACTATTCTAAGCCAAATTTCTCTGATATAAAATATGAAAATAATATTTCCAACCATTTTGTAATATCTTTCAAATTTTCGTAAAATTTCGACTTGATTCGATTATCTGATTTCAATACCGAATTTTACTGCTTTCTAGCTTTTAACACAAATCCCGTATAAAAAATTTGATTCTCACTAAAATCTTTGTTTTAATCCAAACTGTTCATTTACAAGCTAAACTATATAACTTTTAAAAATTATAATTTTGGTCCTTAAACTTTTCAAGTTTATACTTTAGCCACTAAACTTTCAAAACTTATATTTTAGTCATTAGACAAAATTTGGGGTATTACATCCTCCCCTTAAAGAAAATTTATCCTCGAATTTTCTACACGTATCTATATACCTGCATTAAATAGATGAGGAAACTTTTCCTTCATATATTCTTCTCGCTCCCAAGTTGCTTCCTCAACTTCATGGTTTCGCCATAGAACTTTTACTAGTGGAATCATCTTATTTCTCAGTTCTTTGACTCCATGTGCTAGAATATTTACTGGCTCCTCTTCGTATGACAAGTCAGGTTGAATCTCAATTTGCTCTGGTGTAATCACATGTGAAGGATCTGATCGATATCTTCAAAGCATCGATACATGAAATACATTATGAATCTTGTCCATCTCTAGAGGTAAAGCCAACTGATAAACTACCGGTCCAACTCTCTTTACAACCTCGTATGGCCCGATGAATCTTGGACTCAATTTCCCTTTCCGTCCAAATCTCAGAATCTTTTTCCAATGTGACACTTTAAGAAATATTTTATCACCTTCTTGATATTCAATCTCTTTTCTCTTTAAATCAACATAAGATTTATGTCTATCTGCAGCTATCTTGAGAATATCTTGGATGATCTTCACTTTGTCTTCCACCTCCTTAATCAGATCTGGACCAATTACATCTCGATCTTTTAGTTCATACTAATTCAGTGGCGTTCGACATTTTCTTCCAAACAATGCTTCAAAAGGAGCCATTTTGATACTCGATTGATAACTGTTGTTATATGCAAACTCTACTAAAAGCAAATACTTTTCCCATGATCCTTTGAAATCAATAACGCACGCCCTTAGCATGTCTTCAAGTATCTGAATAGTTTTCTCAGATTGACCATCTGTTTGAGGATGATAAGATGTGCTGAAATTTAGTCTGGTTCCCAATGCCTCATTCAAAGACTTCCAAAATATCGAAGTTAATCTCGAATCTCTATCGAAAACTATCAAAATGGGTACTCCATGAAGTTGTACTATTTCTCTTACATATAATTCAACATATTTGTTCATAGAATAATCTTCTCGAACTGGAATAAAGTGTTTTATCTTCGTCAATCTATCCACAATCGCCCAGATTGAATCTTTCTTACTAGGTGTCAAACGTAAACCTGTCACAAAATCCATGGTAACTCGTTCTCATTTCCATCGAGTAATGGAGATAGGTTGCAACAATCCTGAAGGTACATGGTGTTCTACTTTTTCCTACTGACAAGTTAGACATTTAGAAACAAACTCAGTGATAGCTCTTTTCATACCTGCCCACCAATACCGACTCTTTAAATCTTGATACATTTTATTTTCTCCTGGATGCATAGTCAAAGGACTATAATGAGCTTCGATAAGAAGTTATTTTTTCAGATCTTCGTCATCTGGTACACAAATCTGATTCTTATAATATAAACATCTATCGGACTTAATTTCAAAGTCTTTCATTTCTCCTTTCTTCACTTGTTACATTCTATCCAAACACTTTTTATCTTTATTCTATAGATCTTTGATGCAATCCAATAAGGCAGGTCTCAATCGTAATTCTACAATTAATACACCATCTTCTTCCATTGATAATTGTGCATCTAACGATCTAATAGCAGCAAAGGTTTTTCGGCTAAGTGCGTCAGCTACCACATTAGCCTTTCCAGGATGGAAATCAATAATCACATCATTGTATTTGAGAAGCTCAATCCATCTCATTTGCCTTAGATTTAATTCTTTCTGAGTGAGTAAATATTTTAAACTCTTATGATCGGTATAAATGTAGCATCGTTCACTATACAAGTAAGGACGCCATATCTTCAAAGCAAACACCACAGTTGCTAAATTCAAATCATGGGTCGGATAATTCTGTTCGTGTGCCTTTCCTTGCCTTGAAGCATAGGCTACCACTTTACCTTCTTGCATTAGAACACATCCCAAACCATTATGGGACGCATCACTGTAGATTATATAATCCTTTCCTGACTATGGTTGTACTAACACCAGAGCCTCTGTCAGAATCTTTTTAAGCATATCAAAAGTTTCTTGACACTTTTTAGTCCAGACAAATAGTACATCCTTTCGAAGTAGTTTAGTAAGTGGAGATACAATTATTGAAAAATTCTTCACAAATCTTCGATAATATCCGGCTAAACCCAAGAAACTTCGGACTTCATAAACATTTTTCAGAGGTTTCCACTCCACTACCTCTTGCACTTTCTTGGGATCTACTCTAATTCCTTCTGCTGAAATCACGTGGCCCAGAAAGGTGACCTATAACAGCCAAAATTCACATTTTGAAAATTTAGCATATAATTTTTTATCTCGTAATGTCTGAAGTACGATACGGAGATATGTGTCGTGCTCTTCCCTAGTCTTAGAATACACCAAAGTTATCAATGAACATGACCATAAATTGATCCAAATACAGCTAAAACACTCGATTCATTAAATCCATAAATGTTGTTGGAGCATTGGTCAGCCCAAACGGCATCACAACAAACTCATAAATATCGTATCGAGTTCTGAAAGTCATCTTTGGAGTATCTTCCTGTTTTATCTTTAGCTGATGATACCCTGATCGAAGATCAATTTTTAAAAATACTGAAGCACCTTTGATCTGATCAAACAGATCATCGATCCTCGGAAGAGGGTATTTATTCTTCACCGTCACCTTATTCAGTTTACGATAATCTATACACAATCGCATCGAGTCATCTTTCTTTTTAACAAAAAGTACTAGTGCACCCCACGGAGATACACTCGGTCTAATAAAACCTCAATCTAGTAGCTCTTGTAATTGCGCCTTTAGTTCTTTTAGTTACGTTGGAACTATCCTATACGAAGCCATTGAAATAAGAGATGTACCTGGAAAAATTTCAATTTTAAACTCCACTTCTTGATCAGGAGGTAATCCGGGTAAATTATTAGGAAATACATCTGGAAATTCTTGAACTGTCGGAATATCCTCCAAACGAATTTCAGATGTTTGAGTGTCAATTACATTTTCTAAGAAAGTCGTACAACTTTTTTCCATCATTTTCGCTGATGTCATTGTGGATATCACATTGGGCAAAAATTTCGCTTTTTCTCCAATTACTATTATCTGGGTACCCTCTACATCCTTTATAAATAATCACTTCATGCGACAATCTACCCAACCATAATATCGAGATAACCAATCCATGCCCAATATAATTTTAAATTCGTCAAATGGTAACTCCAAAAGATTAGCCGGAATACGACCCCTTGAATCTTTATCGGATAATTTCTACCAATCCGTGTAACTCTAGCACTTTGACCCAGTGGATTTATAGCTATCATATCACTATTGATGGTTTCTAACGAAATATTCTTATTTTTAACTAATTCCGAATTAGTATAGGAATGCGTAGAACTCGGGTCAATCAAAAAAATACATGCTCATTGTAAAGATTGAAAGTACCTGCTATGATCTCTGGGTCATCACGATCATCATTAGTCTTGACGTTATAAATTCTCGTTGAAGCACGAACATCATACTGAGAGGCTATCTCTGAATATCCCCTCCCTCTACCTCTGCCTCTACTATCTCTATGATGCACCGCAACAAACCTCTCAGTTTGTATGATCTCTCCCTTGCTAATAGACAGACTCTGACAAAATGATCAGTATATCTGCAATGAAAACATGCTCTGGTCTTCATTCTACAAACTCCAGGGTGATTTTTTCCATAATGTTGACATGGCAACATCTGATCTTTTGGTTGAGTTGATCTATTGGCTCCTGAAGCTGTCATCTGAGTCTGTCGGCCTTTTTCTTTTGCTTCAGATCTTTTACGACCAGAAGCACCACTTTCATATTTATTTTGATATCGATAATCAAAACCTCAACCTTTTTTAGATTAAAAAGAGGATAATGCTCCTGATCTTTTAGACTGTCATTTATGCTCTATCAGATAATTCTCATTTTGCGCCATTTCCAAGTCTTTTGCTTTGTCCACCACTTCCTAAAAAGTGGTCAAGTTCACAGCCAACAAAAGTTCTCTGAGTTTGGGACGGAGACCTCGAATAAATTTCTAACATATGTCTCTTTCAGTGGGAACCATATCTGAGGCATATTGAGCAAGTTTACTAAACTCACATTCATACTCATACACAGATTTACCACTCTGGATCATATTAAAGAAGTCATGTTTCATCTGAGTAATAAACTGCTCTCCAATATATTTCTTCTGAAATGCTTCTAAGAAAAACTGCCATGTGATCTGATCTAGAGGAACACGTGTCATCACGTTCATCCACCATATATGAGCATGGCCTCGTAATAGTGAAACTAATCCCTCCAATCTTCAACCTCCGAACAGTGAAGATTGTCCAACATTATTTTTACATCATTCAGCCACATATCTGTCACTACTGGGCCTTCGTTTGCTTCACCTTTAAATTTTGTTGCTCCTAAACTTTTTAATTCTTTCAGAACCGATAATTTCAAAACTGGAGGAGGAGGTGTAGGCGAAGGAAGGGGAGGTGATGTTGTCGGCTGATATCGAGCTAAGATAGCCTCTAGAGCTTGTAAGAACATTCCTTGATCTAGAGCGGGTACTCCCTGATGCACCTACTCTCCTTGATATTGGGGTACGTACTCTACCTCGTTACTACTCCCACTACCGGTTACTTCAGGAACCTCTTGTTCGGTGGCCCGTATTATACCTTCCGAACCCGACATCTAAACAAAAGCACAAAATTACGTTAGTAAAGAGCAATATCATAAATAAAATCATCAATCCATACATATTAGTAATTTCGACGTCCTAGTGACATGTACATATTTATGATATAACATAGGCTTGGTTTAGGCCGAGAATCGACTAAACCTACAGCTCTGATACCAATAAATGTAACACCCATAACCTATAAACCTCTAAGAATACAAACCATAGATGTGACATCAAACTCATTAACAATCACTCTTCACAGTTATTTAAAATTTTATTTCTTTTAAAACATTTCTAATTTCAACTTTTAAAATTTTTTATGAACCATTTAAAAACACAATATTTTAACTACTATATATATATACAAATCAAAATACTGATAAACTAAACCAGTCAAACTAAATAGTCCTAATTTACTAATACATAACATATAGTCATAATTGATAAACCATGTTAATAACATAAATATACATGCCACTACTAGTCAAAAGAAACATCGGTGATGTCTTACTGATACTGATATTTAGATGATATGCACAAGATGCTTGAGAGGCTCCTCACAAAATGTTCACGTCTCAATCAGAACCTATGCATGAAAATCATTACGCGCTAAGTATAACTTAGTGAGACATTAATACTAAAGGTGAGAACAATTTAATAAAAGATTGTAATATTTATAAAATCATTAAAATAAAGAAGAAAGAATTTTCAGAACGTTCAAACCAGATATCTCATGCTGAACTTTATCATAAACCTGAAAAGAATCATTGATAATTTTAACAATATCATAATAAATCATATCAGACAGAATAATCAGTCCATATTCCTTTGTAGTCAGACTCTTTTCATAACTTTCTTATCTCATTTTTATAGCCCTAAGTATATTTTATGAGAATATAATGTACGTGAGTCAGACGAGTGTGCGCAATACAGATCTCAGATTATCAGAGTCGAAACAGATAAGCACACACAGTGCTATCACAACGGAAATAACAATACACACACCAAGTGCATTTAGATCAGAATATATATACTAGTGTACATCCGGTACATCACAGTATATCAGAATCAGAACAGATAATCACTCCACCTCATGGCATATCAATTGTACCTATGACTTAGTTCATTTTGTAATCATTTGATAAAAATCATATCAAAATTAGAAATATATTTAATTTACATTCGTAAAATGTGACATAGGCAGTTCATACCCAAAATCATTCATAAAACTTATTAAAAATATTTTGGATATAATTCCATAATCAAAACATAATTCATATCTTTGAAATTAACAAGGTGAGGTTGACTTATCGCAAGTCATCCTCGATCAAAATAATAAAATAATAAATTGCACTCACATTTGCCTCACTACATAACTTGTATACGATGATACTAGTCACAAGCTTTTTCCTATCCTTTCAGATCGTTCGGATTTCTAGTTTTATTGTAATCTGACAATACCAAATTATAACACAAAATGTTTAAACTACATATTAGTATCGTTCCAACATAAGCTCATTTTGACATTTGAAAATCTATAAAATAAAATCAATAACTAAATCGATATCAACCTAACTCGTAATTCCATTATAACTTCAAACTTCTCGAGAACCTTATTCAATTCCACAAATAATTATTCCCAACATGATCTTCAACTTTTACCAATTATAAAATCAAACCACATATTTTAAATTCTTTCTAGAATTCAACTCAACTTTTCCTATTTATTCTAAATGGTCTCTTGACATTTAACTTCAATTCCAAGCATACAAAAATATACTCAACATTTAAACATTACTCTTCATCTTCTAATCCATTTCAACATAAATTCTAAAATTTCCATATTCAGACAACTTGCACTACCTTTAAAGAATCATTATTCTGTATTGATATACACACTGGAATTTAATTACGTTTCTTCCGTTGAAAACTAGGCTCAAATATGAATCTATCCATATAAAGAATTCCTTCTAATTCATTATGTACAATTTATGGATAATTTTCAAAGTTGACAGACAGAATCTGTTTTGTACAGAATCTGTTGCCTATTTTTCTAACCTTTCCTCGATTAAAAATTCATATATTTTTGTATACACATTAAAATTGATCCCCATTTGTTTTAAAAAAATAGATTGATATACGAACATAAATATATAAAAATAAACCCTAAATCATTTTTATAAAATTTCTGGTAAATTTTCAAACTCACTGCCATATTCAAAATCTAAAATGTTTTCATTAACTTCATCCTTAGGTTCTTCATCAATTCTTACAACCAATTCTTTAAAATCGCTTACCTCTTTATAACTCCTAAAACACAAGAAATAAACATCTCCTTCATCAACTCAAGATGAACTTGAACATAAACCCTAGTGATATTCATGTCAAAACATAGCGAAATGAACGTAGAATATTTTTTCTAATTACACGAAGTCTAATTCTCAAGAAAATAGCTCGAAAAATAAAAACTAAAATTTTTCCTCTTACCTAATGAAGTTCACGGTCATGGGGAGGAAGATGAGAGTTTTTCACTTTTCTCCAGAAAGATTAAAACACTTTACACTTGTACTTAAAAGGTTAAAAATGAATAAAATATTCATTTTGCAAAAATTATGATTTTACCCTTAATAAATACTCACAACTACCACTTTGTCATTACATGATACCATCCATGACATCATCTTATCCATAAAAATCCAAATCTCGCATTTCCAAGTTTGCCCTTCCAATTTTCAAAATTTCAATTTAGTCTCTAAATTCCACTATTTGGACAAATCTAAAAAATTGCACTGTTCTGAGTCAAATTTCTCTGATAAAAAATATAAAAATAATATTTCCAACCATTTCAATATCCTTCAATTTTTTGTAAAATTTCGGCTCGATCCGATTATCCGATTTCAATACCGAACTTTACTGCTTTATAGCTTTTAACACAATTCCCGTATAAAAAAATCTGATTCTCACTAAAATCTCTGTTTTAATCCAAACTGTTCATTTATAGGCTAAAAGATATAACTTTTAAAAATTACAATTTTGATCCTTAAACTTTTCAAGTTTATACTTTAGTCACTAAACTTTCAAAACATATATTTTAGTCACTAGACAAAATTTGGGGTATTACAGATCGAGTCAACTCATCTGATTCAACTCGTCTGAGTCAACTCGTCTGAGACAACCCATTGACTTTGACTGTTGACTTTGACCAAAAATTTCAATTTTTTGAAAAGTCGTATTTTATGTTTTTCACGTCCTGAGTCCTAAACCGATGTCCGTTTTGCCAAATTCACACTCGGTATACTATTTTTTCAGTGTTTTATATTCATATTCAATTTGGTTTTTCCATTAAGTTCAGTTTCTCATGTAAATTCGTTTGTTATGTATCCAAGAAATTATTGGACGTTGGATTAAAGTTTGAGGACGATGAAATGGAGTTTAAATGGTCGATCGATATGGCTTATAAATCGAGGTAATACATTACTACCTTATGCATGTTGTGTGGAACATGTTGGTAATGGTAAATGCATGATTGAATATGGTTACATGTGTGTAGTTAAAAATTCTAACTTGGTCTGATAGCGAAATAAAATAAAATTTAACTGAATAAGGCTCAGACTACATGCATAGACACAAGAAGACTGATAATAATTATTTCAAGTTCAGCGATTATCCGGAAAAACAAATAACCTCAAAATCTATTTATTCTCGTTAAAAACTTTAACATTGAAATTACCTGATTATGAAATTATAAAATTGCCCCTGAAGTGTAAAATGACCAAAATACCCTTGAAGTGTAAAATGGCTATATTAGATGACCAAGTTAAACTAAATAGAAGTATTGTAGGTTTCTGAATTGTGAAAACGACTAAATTACTCTGAAAATTCAGAAGTGACCGAGATAACTTGATTACTAAAGGACCTAAGTACCCTCAAATACCTAGAATTAAACAAATAACTTGGATAAGTCTAGAAATGATGATGATCTTATATGTGTACCGTCTATAAGGGTTTTGATCCATGAATCAAGCACATCAACATTTCCTGATATCGTTGCAATACAAAAATGAAATAATACCATTGGAATACATGTTCATCCCCCTAAGATCCATTCAATGATGATTCTGAAGATGGTCAGTTTGACAAGAGTTGTCAGTATTAAAGTGTGAATACCCTTAAAGTGCATCGATTTGACCGATTGACAGATATCACAATGTTGATTTGTTTGGTTTGAGTTAACTCGATATCCTGATAAATCCATATGAATTTTAAATACTATGAATCATCGTTATTCCCTTATTATATCAAATTACTAAGAATTCTTCAAGAACCTAATATCCAAAATGCCCCTGATTTCCTGAATAATGAAATCACTCATGTCATATATGAAATCACAAGTAACTCTAATGCAAAGGATTCTGAATACCTTTATGATTACATAGTGCCTTCGAAAAGTATCTGAATATTATATGATCTTGATAAATCACATCCCAAATAAATGATGAATCTGTCAACTATAAAACCCTTTTATAGGGATTTCGTTTCTAAATTTAATCAGTTTACAGAAGTTTCATGGCTCT